ATACTCGCACGACAAAAACCTCGTGTCACCACGTGAATCGTACCCGGGTCAGTTACCATTAACACGTTCAAGAAGAATTTATTAAGAATTAAAAAAAGTAATGCATGATAAAAGCTTTTTATTTCAATAAGTTATGCTACCAACAACTCAACAGAATATGAGATAATAACTCCACGTAGATAAATCTATCTTGGCAACCAAATCATCAAGTAATAAAGGAGACACATATTAGCACATTGGAAATAACATAACAAATCACGTAAAATGCATGACACATATAAGAAGTCGTAAACCATTCCAACACATGAATAACAACAAGAGTCAATGCGGTGTGCCACATATCAAAATCAAAAATCATCCTTATGACGTCACGTGAGCTTCACATTTTAAAAATATTTTTCCGAAATAGCTTCACGCACATAAGCCCCCTATCGCACCATGTGTGCATCACAATGAAGTATTTTCTCTTACTTGCACCACACGCATAAGCCCATTTATCTCATCGTATGCGCATCAATATACACACCACCTATATATCCCCGCATGTGCATCTCAATCACAACACAATGATCAACCGCACAAAACGTGCACATATGCCACAACATCGCCCAAACAACAATTTCAATGCCACACAATACATAGCCCACGGCTCAACAACAATAAGTATAAGAATAACAACAATAACATATGGGTACAAGGAGTGAATCAACAACGAAATGTGCTTTATATAATAACAACTTCAATTCAAGGCATATTAATAGCACAAGGGTCTAATCTGGTCAATTACCAACATAAGCCCGTATACACACTCGTCACCTCATGTACACATCTTTTCTCATAGTTCAAATAATGCAATTAGACCAAATCCTAAGGGGTAGTTCCCCCACACAAAGTTAGGCAAGATAATTACCTCAATTAGGTCAATTCAATACTCTAAAAATTCTTTTCCTTTAAAATTCACCTCCACCCTGCTCAAATCTAGCCAAAAAAATAAATTAATAATATCGAACAATGCAAGAGAACCAATTTTAATTAATAAAGTTAAGATCTATACACTTATTCCAAAAAGTCAACAAAAGTCGGGCCCATTCAGTCAAAACCCGAGTCAAGGGATAGATATTGACTACCTATAACTCCATGAGTCTAAATATGTATTTGGTTTTCAAATCCGAGTCCAAATCGACTCTCAAATCTCAAATTTTTATTTTTTAAAACATAATAAATAATTCCCAAAATTGCTCTTCAAATCCCAAGATTTAAATGTTAAATATCATAAATAATCATATTATATAATCAAAATTGAGTCAGAATCACTTACCCAATAGCTTTGCATGAAAATCTCCTCTTAAAATCGCCTCTCACCGAGTCTAAGGCTCCAAAATGTGATAAAATGAGACTAAGTCCCGAAATTCCAATCTTTTGTTCAGCTGCAGATGTCGCATATGCGACAAGTGTATCGCAAATGCGATGCCTACTGAACACAGAGAACGTCGCAAATGAAACACTTACTTCGCATTTGCGAAGTCAGCCCCCTTTGCAAAAAGGGCCAATTGGTCGCAAATGCAACCTACCCAGCCCTAGGCCCTTTTTTGCATTTGCGATGCTAGCGTCGCAAATGCGAAGCCTGCCACCCCATTTCCCCCTTCGCATATGTGATAACTATTTTGCAAATGTGGTACTCGCATATGCAAAATGGTGCTCTTATTTGCGATAACTGCAGCACCAACACACTGGCTGCTATGAAACAAGTCCAAACCAATCCGAAATACGTGTGAAACTCACCCGAGCCCCCGGGGATCCACACCAAATATCCACATAAGTTTTAAAATATTATACAAACTCGCTCGTGATTTTAAAATACCAAAATAACATCCGGAATCACGAATCAGACACCAAAACACATAAAAATTACAACGAAACTCAAGAATCACTAAAATCACAACCACGCGTTCGATTCCTACCAAACCAACTCAGAATGATATCAAACTTTGCAAACAAGTTTTGAATGAAAAAATAGACCTATTCCTAGTCCCGAAACCAAAATTCCAAACCCGATAGCCACAAAGTCAAACCATGGTCAAACTTAAAAAATTTCTAAACCTTCAAATTGTCAACTTTCGCCAAAAAGAGTCAAATCAACCTAGGAACCTCCAAATCCAAATTCAGACGTACGTCTAAGTCCAAAATCACATACAAACCTATTGGAATCATCAAAATACAAATTCAGGACTGTTTACACAAAAATCAAACCTTGGTTAACTCTTCCAACTTAATATTTCTAAAATAAAAATTATTCTTCCAAATAAATCCCAAACCGCTCAAAAACCAAAGCTGACCATACACGCAAGTCATAATACATCATATGAATATACTCGAAANTATATTATACTGTATTTACTTTTGTTATATGAACTTTTCCCCCAAGACATCCAGTAAGTACCTAGTACTTATACATACTATTGTTATTTTTGATGGTATGTTAGGTAACGGAAAAGAGCATGTACAAGAAGATCGTACGGACTAGGAGTACTTGCTGATTCTAGATTTTTGGTGATGCTTGTTCGTGGGGCTCCGACATCTTATCTATTTTATTTATATTAGTTTCGGTTTGCATCTCCACTTTAGTTATTCTTTCATTATTCTTAGAGGCTCCATACACATATGTTGGCTCTTGGGTATTATTATGCTAGAGCTATATTTGGCTTGGTTAGTTCTCAAAGTTGGGATGGTTTGCCATGCTTAGTTTATTTTAATATTTTTGGATATTAATTAAATCAAAATAATTTATTTAGACTTACCTCATATTGCTTATAACTTAGTGACTTATTAAAAGAACGTAAGGCATTGTTATAACTTCTATCTTGTAAGGTGCTTCTAATATAGTTCCTTAGCATTGATTACTTGTTGCGCTAGGGTCATGTTTTGGTGCATGACAAGGTTGGTATTAGAGCTCTAGGTTTAGAAGTGTCCTAAGGTTTGTCTATGTTTGTGGATCTATGTCTAGTAGAGTTTTCTTTATACAGCCTGATCACATGTATGACGAGTGACCACCAGGATATTACAAGTGTTTGTTTCTCATTTTGATTCTAGATTATGCTATAGAGCTTTAAACCTTCTTTACGATCATTTTGACGTATTCGTTATTCATGCCTTGATTGTTGATAATATTCTAGTGTATTTAAAGAGTCATGAAGAGCACACAAGTCACTTATGAATCGCCTTACAAACACTGATGGAGAATAAGATGTACGTGAAATTCTCCAAGTGTGAGTTATGGCTTAACTCCGTGACATTCTTGGGTTATGTGGTGTTAAGTGATGGTATTAATGTTAATCCTCAAAAGTTTGAAGCGGTTAAGGATTTGCCGAGGCCTATAAGTGCAACGGAGATATGCAACTTCTTGGGATTGGTAGGTTATTATCATAAATTTATGGAAGGGTTCTCGACAATAGCAGCACCGCTCACAAAATTGACTCAAAAGACAGTTTAATTTTGATTGTCTAGGGAGTGTGGGAAGAGCTTTTAGGAGCTAAAGACGAGGTTGACTTCTGCTCCTATTTTGACTCTGCCTTCGGGGTCTGGTGGATACGCGATTTACTATGATGCTTCCAAAATGGGACTGGGATATGTGCTAATGCAGAACAGTAAAATTACTCTCTATGCTTCCCGTCAATTGAAGAAGCACGAGAATAATTATCCAAATCACGACTTGGAATTAGCTGTCATTGTCTTCGCCTTGAAGATTTGGCACCACTATTTGTATGATGAACATTGTGATATCTTCACTAATCACAAGAGCTTGTAATATATTTTCAAGCAGCGGGGGTTGAATCTCAGACAGAGAAGATGGCTGAAATTATTGAAAGATTACAACTTGAATATCTTATATCATCATGGTAAGGCGAATATTGTCGTTGACGCTCTAAGTCGCAAGTGCATTAGTTTAGCCTATCTTCGGCCTCATGAAATGCCAATGGGCAAGGAAATTCGAAGACTTTCTAGCCTTGGCATCCGATTAGATGAAGTAGAAAATGGAGAATTAGTTGGAATTACTCAAATATGTTCTAATATCGCGGAGAGAATTAATCTAGTCAATAAGAAAATGAATTCCTAGTGAAGCTGAGAGATGGAGTGCAAAATGGTGAATACAGTTCGTTCACAGTTGATGAAAATGATAACGTCTTGAGAATGCAAGGGAGATTATGTGTCACTGATATCGATGGTCTTCGATATGAGTTAATGGTGGATGCGTATAGTTTTAAATATTCTGTGCATCCAGGATCCACCGAGATATATAAGGATTCGAAACAATATTATCAATGAAGGAATATGAAGATGGATATATCTAGCTTTATGGCTAAGTGCTTAAACTTTCAACAAGTGAAAGTCGAACACCAAAGGCCTAGGACTAGCTCACAACATTGAAATTCCCTAATGGAAGTAGGAGATGATCAGTTTGAACTTCGTTGTAGGTTTACCTCACACGAAGGACAAATATGACTCCATTTGGATAATTATGGATAGACTCACGAAATTCACACACTTTCTTCATGTGAAGACGACGTATACTGCAAATCACTATGTTATGTTATATTTGAAGGAGATAGTCAGGTTACGTAGGATTCCAACATTTATTATATCTGACCGAGGTATCCAATTTAGCGCCCACTTTTGGAAATCTTTCCAATAGGGTCTGGGAACTCATCTCAATTTGAGCACTGCCTTCCACCTTTAAACAGACATACAGACAGAAAGAACTATTCAAACTCTTGAAGATATGCCTCCCACCATTTTGCTTATAGTAATAGTAATCAGGAGAGTATCCAGATGGATCCGTAGGAAGCGTTATATGGGCGGCTTTGCAGATCGCTAATTTGTAGGTTTGAGCCAATGAAAGTGAAATTGTAGGGACCCGACTCAGTTCGTGAAGCCACTAAAAAGTAAACCTTATTGTGCGATGACTCAAAATAGATCAAAGTCGACAAAAGTCTTATGCAGACATGAGACATCATGAGTTGGAATTTGTGTTGGGTGGCAATGTGGTCTTGAAAATGCTGCCAATGAAGGGCATAATGTGTTTCAGTAGAACGAGCAATTTTCGTCCTTGTTACGTTGTTCCCTATGAAATTAATAAGAAGGTTGGAAATGTAGCTTATGAGCTTGAACTACTACCCGAGATGTCCATGGTGCATCTAGTCTTTCATGTGTCAATAGTAAGGTTGTATAGGCCTGATCATTCCTATATCATGTCTTATGAAGAAGTGAAATTCAACGAGGAGTTGTCTTATGAAGAAGAACATGTGCAAATCTTAGATCGTCAAGTTCGAAGGCTAAGGGCAAATGGTGTAGCTTGGTTAAAGTCATATGGAGAAATTATAATACCGAGGAGGCGACTTGGGATGCAGAAGATGACATGAAGAAGAGATACCCTCATTTGTTACCTATTTCAGGTATGTTTTGACCTTTCAGTTCTTGAAATTCTACAAATGTTAGCTACCAGTATGAAGTTCATAGTATGTGTTGAAAGATAGTTATTTTGGTTGTGATAGTTCCTGTGAGGATTGTGTTGTTGATTGTTTGGTTGTTAGCTATCTTTACTTTTGGGATAGCTCCAGTTACAAATGAAACTCTACAAAATATTTGAAAATCTTGGAAGTTAGTCAAATTTTAGGTAATAACCAACGATCGAGGACGAAAATTCCAAAGAGAGAGATAATGCAATACCTCATAAATTCGGGTAAGGTTTGGACTTATTAAATACTTTTGGTTAGACCTGAACTGTCACGACCCAATTCTCCCTCCGTAAGATGTCGTGACGGCACCTAGTCTCTACGACTAGGTAAGCCTAACAAAATACAAAAATAACAAAATGAAAGTAAACTTAACAACTAACTACAATAGATAACTAATAACTGGTAACAATGCCGCTCGGCATGTACAATAACCAACACTCTAGTAATACACAGTATTCCCAAATCCTGGAACATCATAAGTCACACGCTACAGAAGAAAACTAGAATCTCTATACACCAGAGTCTAATAAAAAAAATACGGAAGGTAAATGACATAAGGGAGAATAGAGGGGAACTCCGAGGTCTACAGATGCGGCAGATGTACCTTGAAGTTTCCGTACAGTAGCAAGCACTCTCAGCTAATAGCGGGACTGATAAGAAGCACCTAGATCTGCACACAAAACATGTGCAGAAGAGTAGCATGAGTACACCACAACGGTACCCAGTAAGCGCTAAGCCTAACCTTGGTAGAGTAGTGACGAGGTCAGGTCCGGGCCCTACTGGGGATATAATAATAAGACAGATGATATAATAAATAAAGTAACACGGGAAATTTAACAGAAAGAATTCACAGAGATATAAAAACACATTACAATGTGATAACGACAAGGACACTCCCGAGATACCGTCTCGTAGTCAAAAATAAATAAATACTCAACAGGGGATCTCCCGAGATACCGTCTCGTAGTCCCAAAAGTAAATATGCAAGGAGATCTCCCGAGGAGTTCACTTACCCCAATAATTTCCTTGAAGAACCCTCAAAATATCGCCTCACACCGAGCTCCTAAGGTCCCAAAATTGAAAATGGAAAATAAACCCTCGAACTTTATCTTTTCTGCCCGGCGATTTCGCATCTGCGGACCTACTGTTGCACCTGTGGAATTTCCCTCACAGGTGCAGAAATGACTTAAGGGGGATGGGTCCGCATCTGCGATGAAGGGGTCGCACCTGCGTGTGCGCGCCTGCGGAACCTGGTCCGCTTCTACGGTCTCACTTCGCACCTGCGCTCCTTTGGCGCATCTGCGGGCATCGCAGATGCGAAAAATTGCCTCGCACATGCGACCCCTGAGCACCTACCCCACTCCGCTTTTGCGATAGACCTTGCGTACATGCGATCCCGCACCTACGGTCTCCCCGCCGCAGGTGCAAAACTCCAGGAACCAGAAAACTTCAGCCTTTTGCCTAAGTCCAATTTCAATCCGTTAAGCATTTGAAACACACCTGAGGCCCCCGTGACCCCAACCAAACATACCAACACGTCCTAAAATACCATACGAAATTAGTCGAACCCTAAAATCACATCAAACAACGCTAAAAATACGAATCACCCTCCGATTCAAACTTAATGAACCTTGAAACTTCAAACTTCTAAAACCGATACCGAAACCTATCAAACCACGTCCGATTGACCTAAAATTTTACACACAAGTCATATTCAGCCTTACGGACCTACTCCAACTTCCGAAATCGGAATCCGACCCTGATATCAAAAAGTCCACCACCAGTCAAAATCTCCAAAAATTTAACTTTCGCCAATTCAAGCCTAAATCAGTTACGGACCTCCAATTCACAATCCGGACACGCTCCTAAGTTCAGAATTATCCAACGGAGCTAACAGAACCGACAAAAACCTATTCCGGAGTCTTCTTCACACCGTTCTAACTACAGTAAAAAATTCTGAGATTTAAGCCTCCGTTTAGGGACTAAGTGTCCCAAAACACTCCGAAAACACAACCAAAGCCTCCCGGCAAGTCACATAAGCAGGAAGAGATACGGAAAAAGTAGTAATTAGGGGATCAGGGCTATAACTGTCAAAACAACTGGCCGGATCATTACATGAACCTTAAAAATTAAGGCATATACACGTGGGTTAGTTAGACATGAACCTTGGAAATTAAGGTGTATACACGTGGGAAAGTCAAAATCTAAGCGTTTATCAAGTGTACAAAAAAATGGAGTTAAATGGAATCAAAAGGAAACCAAGTTGGATATCTAGGCCAAGATGCGGCGGGGATGCGTACCGCACATTGAAGATGCGGATCGCATGTCTGACCGATATAAGGTCTCAGAAATCACTGGAAGTTGAAAATTTCAAATCTCTAAACTTGACATGCGAAAGAAACATACGGACCACATGTTGAACATACATGCCACATGTTGTACCGTCCGTTGAGACGAAGAATGGTTGATAATTTTAGTCTCTGAAGTTGACATGCGGAGTCCAAATAGTATATTGATCATATATCCATTATTGTAGGCTTCAGGAGTTGACATACGACTAACATAAGGATCATATGTCCAATATACAGACTGTATATGGTGGCCGCATCTCAAAACTGATCGAAATCTATAAATACGAGAATTTTTAGAGTTTCAAACCCCACTTCGTTTTGGCTGACTTTTGTAGGAGAAAAGCACCATAGGACTTCCCCAAATCATAAAAGGTGAGTTCCTACTCAGTTTTATTAATTATTACATCAAACTAACAAGTATTAATGCCAAATTGTCCTTTAAATCCCTAGATTCTTGAAAATTTAACAAGGAGCAATCAATATGAAATTTTGGGGATCTCTTACAAGGAAAGAACTTTATCCTTCTTTAGTTATTCTAATTGATTGGAAAGGTAACAAGATGATACTAAGCCCCTAATTCGTTTAGGTATTGATTTAAATTGTGAAACATACAATTCCAGGCATAAATTCTTATTTTTATAGAAAAGGAGCAAGGACCTAGAGCTCGCTAAAGTTTTAATCCCTGTCACTCCAATTATGTGTAGCGTGATTGCTTGAACATTAGAACTACGGTTGAATTAGTTTAGCGGGATTTGAGGTATATCTCTTTGAAAATAATTTTTACTATAAAGGTATTCAACAAGGCTTTATGTGCATGTGGGACAAGCTCGCTTCGAGTCTATACATTTTGATTATCTACTATATTATATGTATGCACACATGAGGTACCATATACATGGGTTGTTAAACTTGAACTTGAACTACGGACGTATGAACATGATTTCCTAAGTTACAATATGTCTCTTTGAAATACCTTTGCAAGAAAATAATTAACATGAACGATTCAGCTAACACGCCATGACCTATGAAAGACTTAGATGATGAATACGGAACTTGTATGGGCCTGTATTAGCATAGCTTGGGAATGTATTGGCACGACTTGGGCCTGTATTGGCATGAATTTTTGGACTGTATTGGCATGATATGATTTTCGAGTATGACAAATTAGAATTGTACCATTTCTTACTGTATAATAGACAGTAATGAGAAAATATGTCAANTATATATTCAAGCACCAGACACCAGTATGCAAATAGAAAGGAGCAGAGATAGAGAAACAATTTTTTTTCATTAATTTGATTAGACTGAAAGAAGTAACAGGATCTAACAACTTCAATATTTTCCTCTGAAATACCCCTAAAATCAATGAATATATTCTAATAAGACAAGTACACTTAGGGGTCGTTTGGTATTAGGTACAAGAAGGTATAGTGCTAATATAAAAATTTAATATCACCTTAATACTTTGTTTGGTTAACAAACCTGGTATAAGTTATCCCGGGATTAAAATTAGTACCGGGATAACTTATACCTTGTAGAGAGTTGGGTAATTAGTGTCGGGATAACTTATACCTTCTTGTTAGAAATTATGCAATTGTCATTTTTAATACAACATACCAAATAGTGGATAAAAAATAATATCAGGATAACTAATTCCAGCATAACTAATCCCATCATAACTTATCCCGGCATAAGCCGTATTCAAACCAAACGACCCCTTACAGAATAAAAAGTTTGCAACCACACCTAACTACACTTGTGGTAGATCAACACCATTATATGTGCGATTGAAGGTCATGACATTGGCTAAGCGCTCTCAAGCTCTTTCTCATCCCTCAAAAGTGACAACCAATTAAAAGTGCTTTGATATGATTCTTTTCTTGGTGTAACGATCAGCTTTTTCTGTGGATATATAACAAATACAATGACATATAAGTTCAATTAGCAGAGACGATATATAAATTAAGACCCATTCGAGGTTTGTGACAAATTTGAATGTCCTTGCCACTTCATCTCCACGAAATCAAAGCATTTCAATGGACTTTTATACACATCTTTGCTATATATTTGGTGGAATAGATAAAATAAATTATGCATAATATTAATATTAGAGGAAACAAATAAACTGAATTTATGCAGACCTACTCCTTCAACAAAACTCCAGTGGTCTCGATTAACAATTTAACATGTAAGTGTTGAAAGAATGAAGAAATGGAGAGACCCATATTTTAAGAACTATGTACAGCCATAAAAACGGGTCAAGTATAAGGTGAAACCAAATTTGTCTTAAATATTGTAGATTTGTGGCTCTTCGCCTCCTCGTAATTGCTGCTCATTCAAAATAAATGTTATACAAATTATAACAATAGTCTTTTCAGCTTTGGATTAGTTGAACTTGGTTAGTAATTGTTCACTTTATATGAATTTTAAGAAGTATTTTATATTTATAGCAGGTAATTCGTGAAAGAAACGCAATTGTATTATTAAAGTGATCATTATTATTATTCGTTTACATTTCTGTAATAAAGATGAATTTGGACAACGCTAAATTAT